CCAAACCCCAACCCCTAAACCCTAAACCCTAAACCCTAAACCCTAACGCGCACTTTTCCGGAGAGGACGAGGAAGCCGATGCTGTCGAGAGGGTCTGGAACAGTGTTGGGGGTTTTGCTGACAGATCTGAAGTCGAGAGAAACCCTAAACCCTCCTGTTGCTTCTCCGATTTGGTGCTGCAGCTGCTGAGGGTTTAGCTGCCCCGCGCCGGTCTCCAGCAGCAGCCGCGCCAGCAGCCGCAGCAGCGGCAGCTGCTGCAGCGCAACAGCAGCAGCAGCAAAATAAACCTCCGCGTACAAAACCCCGCGAGTCCCCAGCTCGTGCGAAACAACAGCAACTCCTTCCACGGGAAAACAAGAAGACGGGATTTCGTTGTTCGCCTGCGCGCACACCCACAGCTAGCTAGCTAGCTAGCTAGCTAGCTAGCCGCGCGGCTGGCCAGGCAGCAGCCAGCTAGCCAGCTAGCTAGCTAGCTGGCTAGCTGGCTAGCTAGCCAAGCGCCAGCTAGCTGGGGAGCTAGCTAGCCACGCAGCTAGCCAAGCAACGCCGAGCTCGACAGCTAGCTAGCTGGCCAAACGACAGCCAGCTGGCTAGCTAGCCAAAGAGCTAACTAGCAGACAGCTAGCTACCCAGCTAAGCAGCTAGCTAGCCAAACAGCTAGCTAGGCTAGCTGGACGCACAGCTAGCACCCTAGACTGCTAGCTGGGTAAACGGCTAGCTAGCTGGATGGCTGCATGGTACAGCAGCGGCAGCAGCGGCAGCAGCAGCAGCAGCAGCAGCAGCAGCAGCAGGCTTGCCTCCTTCACGTCTTCAAGGCTAAGGACCGGCAGCGACTTCAGGGCCTCTTCAGAGTCCTCCGACAGCTGCAGCAAACTCCACAGCGCCTCTCACAGCTAGCTAGCTAGCTAGCTAGCTAGCTAGCTAGCTAAATGGCTAGCTTGCTGGCTAGCTAGCTAGCTAGACAGATAGATAGATAGCTTGCTAGCTAGCTATATAGCTACCTAGCTGGCTAGCCAGCTGCAGAGCCGAATGGCTAGCTGGCCAGCTAGCCAGTTAGCCAGCTAGCTACACAACTATCTAGCTAGCCAGCCGGCTGCAGAGCCAGCTAGCTGGCTAGCTAACTAGCCAGCTAGCTAGCTAGAGAGCCAGCGAGCTACCTGACACAGCTATTTGGACAGCTACCGAGAGCTAGCTAGCTAGCTAGCTAGCCAGCCACACAGCTAGCTAGCCACACAGCTAGCTAGCTAGCCGTCCAGCTAGCCAGCTAGCTAGCTAGCTAGCTAGCTAGCTGCGGACCTGTCTCTGTTTGAGGGCAATCTGGTCCGCAAGAATGTTTTCAACGACAGAAGGAGTTAATTCGCTTTGGATTTTTTCAAGTCTTTTTTTTTCTTCTGCTGCTTCCCGAGCTTCCATTTCGGGGTCTCCAAACAGCCGCAAAGTCACGCGGTGCGGGTTCTCCAGCAGGTATCTGCGCAGCAGCAGCAGCAGCAGCAGCAGCAGCAGCAGCAGCAGGTGCAGCAGGTGCGGTGGGAGCAGTGCAGCAGCAGCAGGTGCAGCAGGTGTCGCAGCAGCAGCAGCAGCAGCAGGAATTGTAGCAGTAGTTGTAGCAACAGCCGTAGTAGTAAGCAGCAATAGTAACAGCAGCAGCAGCAGCAGCAACAGCAGCAGCAATAAAGGTGTTTAGTTCGTTTAGCTCCAGAAGAATGATTTGAAAGATAAAAAAGAAAATTCGAAAACGAAAAAAGGAGAAAAACCAAAAACTGAAAGGTGAAAAGAAATTAAAGAAAACAAGAAGAAAACAAAAATGAACAACCAAATAAAACAAACATATAATCAAACAAACAAATTAATTAATTAATTAATTAATTTAATTAAAATAAATAACTCGGACTTTCTGGTGAGGTTTTGGAAAAGATCTTCTCTCAAATAAGCACACAAATCAAATCAAATCAAAAAAATAAACAAAATAATCAATTGATTTAATTAAATTAATTAAACTCAAATCAATTAAACTAAATTAATTTAATTAATTTAATTAATTAAATTAATTAAATTAATTAAATAAAAAATAAATCCTACTTTCTGATGAGGTTTTGGAAAAGATCTTCTTTTTGCATTCTTTCGCGAAGTTCTTTTAAAGCAGCAGCAAAAGATATCGCAGCTATTGGGTCCTGCAAATAACAAATAAATAAATAAATAAATAAATAATAAAAAGCAAATGAATAAATATAAACAATAAATAAATAAATGATAAATAAATAACAAATAAATAGATAAATAAGAAACTAGATAAATAAATAAACAATAATAAATAAATAAATAAATGAAAAGTTTAATTTGATTTAATTATTTAAATTAAATTAAGTTAAATTAAATTAAATTAATTCACTGTGTCGCAATTTGCTTCTTGTCCATATCGAGAAAGAGGCCAAGTCGTTTGCAACGAAAGCAGTCCAACTAAATAAACTAATTAAATTAAATTAAATTAATAAATTAAATTAGATTAAATAAATTAAATTAATTTAATTAATTAAATTAAATAATTAGTTAAATTAAACAAATAAATAATTAACTCACTCTGTCGTAATTAGCTTCCGTGTCCATATCGAGAATTAGACTGAGTCCTCTTGGGAAGGTGCCGGTGTTTAATTCTCTCAAGTTAAACTCCAAAGTGTTAGCAGCAGCAGCAGCAGCAGCAGCAGCAAACCCTGTCTCCGCCAGCTGCTGCAGACACCGCAGCACCACGCTCTCCACTTCTGCTGCTGCGCCCTCCTTCTGGGCCACCCCTGCAGCAGCAGCAGCAGCAGCAGCAGCAGCGGCGCGCCATTATTATTTGCAGCAGCATCAACAGGGTTTGCAGCAGCAGCAGCAACAGCAGCAGCTGTAGAAGCAGCAGAACGAGCAGCAGTAGCAGCAGCAGTAGCAGCAGTGGCATTATTAGCAGCAGCAGCAGCAGCAGCAGCAGCGAGAGGAAGCAGTAAAGAGAGGCCAAAAGGAGTTAAGGAGACAAATGGGACACAACAAAAAAAGGAAATTAAAAAATGATGAAAGGAAACAAAAACGAAATAAAAAAGAAATTAAAAAGAACACAAAAACAAAAATGATAAAATAAAAAGAAATTAAAAGCCATAAAATAAAAGACATAAAAAGGGGACATAAACAGACAAATAAAAAACAAAAAAGGGACATAACAAGTGAAACAAAAAAGAAGCAAAAAGGAAATAAAAGGAAATAAAAAGCAAATAAAAAAGAAATAAAAAGGAAATAAAAAGGATATGAAAAAGAACTAAAAAGGAAATAAAAAACAAAAAAGAAGTACAAGAGAAATAAAAACAGTCAAAAAACGCCGAAAAGAGGCAAAAACAGCTTCAAAAGGCTCGAAAAAAGCGTGAAAGAATGCAAAAAAGAGCCGCAATCATTTCCAACAAAAAGAATTTGAAAAGAGCTTCAAAAGGGCGCAGAAAGAATCAAAAAGGAGCAAAAAGGCGCAAAAAGATGCCAAAAGAAGCCAAAAAGAAGCCCAAAAAAGCCGAAAAGAGGCAAAAAAGACTCCAAAAAGCTGGAAAGAGGCGCAAAAGAATGCACAACAGAACTGAAACCCTTTCCAACAATTAGAGCTCAAAAAGAGCTTCAAAAAAGTGCAGCAAGAGGCGGCGAAGGAGCGAAAAGACGCAAAACGACGGCAAAAGATGTGCAAAAGGCGAAAAAGAAGCCGAAAAAGGCCGAAAAGGAGGCAAAAAAGGCCCCAAACAGCCGGAAAAAAGCGCAAAAAGCTGCGAGGAGTTTGCGGAAGCACTCGCAACGAGCGGAGCCCAAAAAGAGCTTCAAAACGGCGCAGCAAGAACGAAAAAGCAGCGAAAACGCACCCTTTAGCCCCACGGAGAAGGTGGCGTGTTTCAAGTCGAGACTGAGGCCCCCCCCTATCACTGCCCGCCCCAAATGGCTGTCCGCGAGGGCCTTATAAAGGGGGCTGGTGGGGGTGCCCAGCAGCAGGTAAGAAAGGGCCTGCAGCGCGAGCCTCTCGCTGCTGCTGC